CCATATTTCAACACACAACCCCTATCACACTGAGCAATAACACCTGTCTTAGACGGCCACCTTAGTGACTCCATTACGCTTTGTCATAAATCAAGCATTGGGCCATGGCGTTGTGGGCGAGCCGTCATAATCTAAAAACCTGTCGTTGTTAGGTAGTCCCTCCAACTGATCATGTTGCGTAGGCCCCTCCCACTGTTGACCAATAGGTAACAAAATTAATTTTCAGCTTCTGGGGAGGGAAGTGTGTGATCCCTCATAACCCATACGCCCCGCCCAGAACCCATACACAAATCGCAAGTGAGATTAGTGGTCATTGTTTACCCAGTCTGTAGCAAAGTAACAATGGACGTCAGCATGAACTTGTGACAGAAGAGTTGCTTGTTATCCGAGTGGTAGTACGTGTGTTTGTTTTACCATAGCACTTGGTCCTCCTTGTTTGACACATTTCGTTTTATTGTCACCCGTGCACAAAAGCAGCTACAAAAGAAAAGAAAACCCAGCGAAAACAACAACAACAAAAACAAGAAACAATGCAGCTACCTTCGGTTGGGGCCTCAGAAAGGGAGGGTTTGTTTTCTTAGAAAGGAATGATTTGTTTTCTCCATCTTGATCAGTCCTGCCTAAGACGGCCACCTGTCTTATACGGCCACTTTTCTCCTTGACAATGGGTGACCATCTTATACAGGTTCGACTGTATATATATAAATAAGAGAAACAAGTAGACTTGATGCATCACTATCAGTTCTTTGGAATGTTTACACTAATTGCCAACTGTGCAAGGCTGTTCCCCGTCGTTTTAAGCAAGAAACATTCTGAAATTATGCAAACTGAGCCCAAAAAGGAGAAATTATGCGATTCTGTTATTTTTTAACAAAGATTGATAAAGGAAAATAATGAGAAATTATGCAAAAAATGATCTAATTTTGTTACATTATGCGGGGGTGCATAAAACTACGGGGACAGGCAATGAGAAGCATTGATTTGATATATTTTTTAGTCAAACCACTTTGTAAAAAATAACATTATTCATTGAGTCAAAAGAGAAGCAAAACTCTAATTTGGGAGTCACATGAGAGTTGACAAAATGGCAGCTGTCACATGGATAGACCGTGTGTACAAATAAGGAAAATCACAAAAGTTGAGAATATTCTAGGCACTTCAGTGAACGCGCTCACTATGGCGGCATTTGGCTTCGGAAAGTCCCATAGGGTTTTGTTTCCGGACATGACGTCTCATCGCGACAGTGGGTTCAAACTGCCCATATTTTTGTTTCATTTAGGGGACCAACATTCAAGTCCGATACATGTCTTTAAAGACCTGTGGATGGCCTTCAAAACGCTTCTTTCCAGGTCGATGTGCGACTAATGAGTCTCGAAATATTTGAAGTTGAAAAATAGACAATTTTTAACCATTGATTTTTGATAAATTTTCTCGTCATATTTTTTTCAAACTACCCTTGTTGGTAAACCATTCTTTGTTCTTCCAGAAAACGTTTAAATGGTTATCGTAGAAGTCTTACCTTGGCTAGTGTTGTCTTACCCTTTTATCAACCAAATCCGCGAAAACCTAGCTGAACCCTTCCACCGCGACATCGCGCAGAGTCGTGACGTCACACATTTTCGCCTTCAGCTTTTGGCTCCCTCTCTTCATTGTTTGAAATGTACGAGACAGGGAAATACATGGCCAAGAGATTTTTATAAACTTAAGTTCAAAAAGTTAATCAATTTTGGTAATGTTTTATAATCACTGACCTCACATTGTGCCTTAGTTCATTCGATAGTATAAAGAAAACGAGACTTTTTAGACCCAAGTATTTCCTTTTCACTGAGCTCCCCCTCCCTCCTTTTTTCCCCTGCCCAAAGCCTTTCATTGCGTAGGGCCTAGGGCCTAGATCTAGATCTAGTATGAAGAGTCCGGACTCGTGTTGTTAACACAGTCAAAAATTAAATAGGAACGCCTATTAAAGTATCTGATGCAATTATTTGTTTGATAAAGTTTCTTAGGTTTATTGTTAGTACCGATCCAGATTTTCTTTC